GGTCACTAGTGTTTACACATATAAATGTTTGCAATAATGCCAGACACATCAACATTCAGTGAGTGTGAGCTATTATTATATTTTATTATCTTAATTTTTATTGTTATACATTATCACTATTATTATTCTTCTATATTCTATTAGTATATCCCTACATTAATTAAAGTAACATTTGTTCTCTACACCTCTGTATTTCATACTTCAATTTACTAATAAGCCTATAATTCAGTGGGAAATTCATGTGTGAATATGCATGTGTGTTTTACTCTTCAAAGAATTCTTAAGATATTAGTTTTTTGTTGCTGCTCATAATTTACCACAAACTTGGTTAACTAAGATGACACAAATTTCTTGTCTTACAGTTCTGAGATCATAATTGAAAAATCTCTTGACCTGGCTACATAATTGGGGCATCTTCAGATGAGAAACCATTCCTCTCCTTTTCCACTTTCTAAAGGCTGCACATGTTCTTTGGCTTGTGGCCACATCACTCTGACCTTTGCCAGCTCTGCTGTTACTGTCACTTCTCTTTCTCTGACTTTAACCCTGCTGTTTCTTTACCCATATAATACATCCAGCTAATTTAGGACAATCTACCTATTTCAAGAGCCTTAACCTAAACATATATGGAAAAATCCCTTTTTCCTTCACAGGATCCAAGGATGAGACAAGGCATCCTTAGGGAGTTATTCTGCTAAGCACCAAGGGAAAGCACTGTATGAGCTCAATAATCCAAACCAGTGCTGCCTGTCCAGGGTGATTCTGCTGCCTCACAAGGACAGTTATCAATGTCTGGAGTCAGATAGATTATCATTAATTGGATACGAGATGCTACCCGACACCTGGTGGACACAGACTACTACTAACAATTTCAGAATGCATAGGACAGCTCCCTCCCCACAACAAAGAATTATCCAGCCTAAAATATGAACACTGATGAAGTTCAGAAAGTCTGATTTGATTTCTTGAAATCTGTTGTGTTCAAAAGGTTGCAATGTAATGAAAGGATGTTTCAGGATTCAGATTTACATAGGAAGGTTTACAAAAGTCACACACAAGTATTATGCCTTCATGTTTTTGACAATCTTAGGTGGTAAATAGGAGAGGAATAATATTACTCATAGTTTAATAGTAGGGTTTTGTGCACTGCTTTAACTTGTTATTTGTTAAGTCAGATTTGTTTGTGTTATCTGGTGTAATTGTTCACATGGATGCATTTCATTTCGAAGTTAATAGTGAATTTAAAGTATTATTAATAAATATAATCTTATGCATATTATAAATATTTAAGTGTACAGATACTCTGATTTAAAATGCTAACGCCAAACAGATTTCAAAATGATACACAGTCATCTGCAATGTTTTTGCGTTAGTATAAATGACCTCTATTCGGTGACTTCAAAGAATCAAATAGAAAAGAACACTCTCTCACAGTCCCTTCCTTTGGGAGAAAGATACTAAGTTAGAACCATCTTTCACCGAAAATAAGTCCCTTGGGGGCCACCCTAGTGGCTTAAGGGTTAAGTTTCAGAGCCATCACTGCTATGAACCAAGTTCAATCCCTGGCCAAGGAACCAACCCACATAGAGCACAGCAAAGCTCTCCTGTCTTGCCTGCTGCTCCCCTCAACAATGTATTTCAGTCAACCCACCTGTTCTGCTCCCCACTCTGGTTCTGGTGAATCCTCTCATTGCTCCCATCCCCCACATCTCTGACCTAAACCCCAGTTCTTCTAAGCAAAAAATTTAAAAAATTGAAAATAAATAAACTTTTAAAAGTTACCCTTTTAAAAAAAATAAAAATAAAGTAAATATGCTGGATATCAATACCTAACTCCCCAATTCTAAAGAATTTCTGTGCTTGGGTTTGAATTCTCTTAGTCTTTTAAAGTGATCTATAGAAATGCTGGCCAGGATTTTATTGTTTTTTAACACCATTTTTTTCTTTTCTTTCCTTTCCATCCACTCCACTGTTCTCACTCTCTCCCTTTCTTTATTGTTTTTTCTATCCAAGATCTCCCTTAGTTTTCTTAATTTGCAACAATTTCTAAAAGTGATAGCTGTGTTTTTCTGTGACAGAAAAGATTTGCTAATCAGCAGCAGACTGGATTTGTCTGCATGGAAGTGGAGACTGTTTCCAGCAGGGTGAGTTTCATCTTCATCTTTTCCCCATAAGCAGAACAGTAAGTATTAAAAGGAAAGTCTTCCAATAGCTTGTGAGCCAACAAAGCAAAATAAAGGAAAACACAGAGCTATTCAGCCACCTTGTTTACCACTGAAGCTATTTCTATTATATACATTTCTCTGCCAAGATGTATTTTTGCAAGGTGTTTTACATTTGGTCTGATTTCCAAGCTACAATTAAAGGATACAGGTTAAATACACGTTAATGAGCTGAGACCTGCCAAACACTATAAAAAGCCCAAGCCATATTCCTAAAAATTAAAGGTGCCAGATTCCAAATACCACATTACCTATTGGGGGAGGGTACCATGAAAGGATCCTTCCCAGAACTCTGTGCCAACCTAGTTATAGGACCCAGTTTCTTTAAAGATAAAATTCAAGAAAAAGAGATGGAAAAGATAGCGTGTAAGAGAGCCTGTAGATTAGGAGACTTAAGAGACAAAGTCAAGTGTTTTAAGAACCAAGAAACTTGGAGATAATTAGAGGTAAGTGGGAGTTTTTCAAAACAGGATAGGTATGAGCATATAATAGTGCAGCTGGTAGAGTGAAAAGAAGAGAAGGGTTTGGGAGAGAGCAAATGGCAACTCTGACAACATATCCCAACCCTGGTGGTGGTCCCTGATGTCCCCCAGCTAAGTACCTCTGCAGCCATTTCCCTGGGAAATGGCCACTTCTTTTGTTTCTGGCAAAGCTAGTGGGTGGGAAGTGCATGCTAGTATGTTGAGCAGAAAATAACTGCTGCTGTCTGGTGTCCCTCACACCAGCCACATCATGTCTCAATTGTATGGACCATGCACTGCATACCCATAGCGGGGGAAGCACAAAAAGCAATACAGAAAAACAAAGCTCATGTATGCAGAACATTAAACTTGAATCCCGTCATTTATTTTGCAGAGGTCAATGAACAACAAAAACCTAGGTGAGAACAGTCAATAGAACATAATTAAAAATAATTTGGAGTAAAAATAAACTGTTATATAAGAAAAAAAAATAATTTGGGGGGCCCTCCCTGGTGGTGCAGTGGGTTAAAGCACAGTACTAAGAAGCTATAGCCACTTCAGCATGAGTTCGATCCCTGCCCCGAGGTGACCCACATGGCACAGCAGACCTCTCCTGACCCACCTGCTGCTCCCTTCAGCAGTGCACTTCATCAGTCAGCCTGTTCTGCTCCCACTCTGTTTCTGGTGAGTCCTCTCACGGCCTCTGCACCTCTGACCTATACCCCAGTGCAGTATGCATAAATAAATAAATCTTTAAAAATTAATTAATAATAATAATTTGGGGGATCTCCCTGGTGGCTTGGGGGTTAAGTCTCAGTACTACCACCCTCTAGGACCTGAGTTTGATCCTTGGGCAGGGAGGTGACCCACATATGGCACAGCAGACCTTTCCTGTCTTGCCCACCACTTCCCTCAGCAGTGTATTTCAGTAAATCTGCCTGTCCTGCTCTCCACTCTGTCTCTCACCCCTCGTACATCTGACCTACACCCCAGTTCTTCTATATATCCACACAATAATAATTTTGAGCATGTTATTTCTGGAAAGAACTGGAGATATTAAAGAGGGGGTTCAAAATCTCTTGTCAAAGGGCAGAGATTCCGTGTTCATATCCCAGGTCTTACCACTTTGTTTCTCCTTGTCAAAGTGCTCACTGACTTTTTCTCATCCACCACATTCTGATGTGCCTTCTACACTTCCTTACATTTTTCTGGTCCTATCTGCGTTCTATTCTAATGTCCTCAAGGACAGCCCTGTTCTCCTTTCGGGAACTCTAATAATCCTGAGGCTTCAGCTATACCCTCTGGGGACAGATCCTAAATCCACCCCGTCCTGATCTTCTCACACTTCATTCCTAGTCTGCTGTCTCTTTCCACTTGGTTGTTAGCCCGGGCTTAGAGCCAATAATTCCAAATACATATTATCCCATCTCTCCCTAAAACAAACTAATTACTCTCAAAGGTTTCTAGCTGTGCTCTGACTCCCTTCGGTTTTAAAACTTGGCATTATTTTCGAATTGTTCATAGGCCTCCATTTAACAAATCAGTTTAATTGCACCACCCAATTCTCTTTAAACTGTCAGTTTTTCTGTTCCACCACTGGCCAGTGCCCTCTGCCACACCTGGATTATAGTGGCAGCCTTGCCCTAAGACCTGCCCTCACTGGCTCTTGGCTTCTCACTCAATGGCCAGCTTAGCATTCCTGGGTCATCTTCCAAGGTGTGCCTTGTCATGTTTTGTTAAGAAAATATCCATTTCTCCTTTATTGCAGCATTAAGGATGAACATGGACTTTGAAGACTCTTCCTAATGTGCACTTATCAAGCTTACATTTGTACTTCTCACATGACTTACTCCTGTTGGTCTTGCTCCTTGTTTGGAGAGACATCTCTTCATTAATTCCAAATCCTATTCTTGCTTCAAGCTCCTCCCAAATCTTAACTTCTGCAACTTGCTTTAAAAAACTCCTTGGTAAGGTTTTATGCCTCTAATGATTGCATGAAGAAATGTAATGCTTAGTGATAGGATGTTATCATTTCATACGTATTGATTTCCTTTCTCCAATTATTTGTTCTTACTCTATGGCAATCTCCATAAAGCTAGAGATAGATTTCTCAATTGCTCTACCATATACTCCAGGGCTAAAGGACAAATGCTTTTTGTAGAATAAACAAGTTAATCTACTACCTTAACTGTAAATGAGTGATCGATAATGCAGAAAATCATAAACAAAGCAAATGTAGAGATACATCTATTAGCACTTGACTTTTGAACGCTACACATCAATCATAAAGTATTAGATTCAAAAATCATCTTCTTACCTGATTTTATGCAGTCTGATGACTTGCAAATACCATCTAGAAAAAAGAGGGTGTATGAATAAATATTTGCAATACATGTTTCCTAATTTCTCCCTATCTTGTGCACTTTCAAAAACTGCCAATTAAATAATCATCCCTTAAAGCAAAAACTAAAACCTGGATATCACATATGTAATTAGAAAAGAAATAGAGAGAACAAAATACGCAAATCCTAAATTTAAAATTTTTACTCTGAACAAAATAATCTATTTATTATATCACCTCCCCCCCACCTCCATTTAGTAGACCTCCTAAGTCCTACGTCTATTAAATTGACAGAACCAGTTGTTTTGGCCTAGTAATCATGTTTTTGCCCAATTAAGAGTCAATCTTTTCTAATTCTTATTATGGAAATCTTCTGGAACTCAAATTAGACCTCTTAAATTCCTGTGTAGCTCTTTAGAATTTCAATGACACCACAAAAGTTGACTAATTGAAGTTGGCCATAAAATGGTGTATATGTTAGTTAAGTAAAATTATACATTTAAATTCTCATAAAATAAGCATGATTGCACTGAATAGACTTGGCAGTTCATACCTTAGCTCAAACATAAAAGATTTGTATTTAGTCAAATTTAATTGTTTTGACATTCTGATATATTGCATCCTATAAATGAATTTTTATATAGTGTTCTTAACATTTTTGTTAAGCTCAGGATGAAACTGGCACTTCTTTCTGTATTTACATGTCCACAGGATGGGGTAACTCACCATCATAGGTTGCATAGAGCGCAATCATGGTCACCGCGATGATGGTAAGGAGCAGGACAAGGACAGAGAGACTGATCTCCAGCGGCGTCCATCTCTGTTTCTTCCTTGGCTTTGGAGTGTTGATATCCGTTATATCCATCTGACTTTCTGATCTGCCCATCACCTAAAATCTGCCCCCCAAAATTAATTAAGCACTAAAAACAACAAATTAACAAAGAGGTAAACAGAAGAAGAAAGATATACACAGTCTTCCAAATATTTACGTCTACGCAAAGCAAAAGACGAATCTGTCGTAAATTAGAAATAAAAATTTGATTGAGAGTGAAAAATGTACTCTGAAAACAGAGTCAAAGCCAGATGAATTGGGCAGCTCCTGGTCACAATCTTGTGTGACCAGGTCACAACCTGTTTTTGCTATGTATCACTGAAGATACAAGCAAAACTACTCCACACTCTGTTAAATACTCCCATAAGGTTCCTTCAGCCTTACAAAGCAAGTGATTGCTGTACTATCATTAAGCAAGGTTTTAAACTCACCCTTCTGAACTTTGAACAGTGTCAAAGGTGAATTGCATATCTTGCACCAGTGGTGGCTCCCTTTATCAACTCAGCAATCAATGACTAATACCCTGATGTTTTGACTAAGCAGTGATTGGAAATTTGCATACAGATAACAAAAAAGAACACACTTGTGGCATTTTATTTTTAGTGTAGAAATAACGTATCTTTAGAGCTCTTAATTTTACATTTCATAATTTTACAATTCAAAATGATGACTACTGATGATATTGATATCTGTTAACTAGTTAGATAAGCTGAAAATACTCAAATCAGTGGACTAGAAGTCAGGATGAAAAATATTAGCCATCATGAATTTTTTTTTTACTTAACTGAAGAAAAATATTAAAAAGATTGTCTTGCAGGTCAGGGCAACAACTATTTAGGCTATTTATTTGTATTTAAGTTAAAAACTATTAATAATATGTTCTTCCTCTAATAATAGACTACATCCCATGTATCAGTGACAGGTCTTAGTGCCGGACACCTTGCAGTTCATTTTACCCTTGTAAGGTAGATATTAATATTCTAACATCACATCTTAGGAATGTGGGACTCAGTAGCATTAGGTAACTTGCCCTAATGCTACTTAGTGGTCTCACAACCACTAAGTGTTCTTTACATCAGGTCATTGTCTGAAATAAAACAGCATCCTCACACAATAAAAGCTACTTCAAATCTTAATGTAGAATTTCAAGGGAAAAGTTAACAGGATATATGCCTAAATATTAAATTTCACTGTATTGCTTTCAGAGGTCTAGTGATTCGTTATGGGCCATTCATGAAAGTTTAGAATAAACAATCTGACTCTAGAAAAGGAGTATGGTAAATGAGCACATTAGTTGTTTACAGCTTCATACAAATTAATTAAATATATCATTTAGTTCCCCAAAAAGGGACTATTAAGAATAGTTAGAAATCTTTATTTAAAACACACAATTCTCTGAAAGTGTGTTTGTGGAAATTGAGGTACAGGATAAAGTAAAAACAGAACCCACATTTGAAGTGTGGCTTGAGGTCTGCTAGGATATCCAGCAGAGAACCAGGAATTGAATCTTCCCAGAGAGTTATTAATAAGTAAATCACAACTGGACTTTAAGGTTGTGGATACAAAGTCTTGAGCACATTGTCCCTTTGATTACATGAGGCTATAACAAGAACAAACTATCAAAAATATTTTATTAGCCCATGAAAAACTTGTCTACTCAATAGATGGAATGGAATGTACCCGAATGTTAAAATGTCTTACTTAATGGTTATGTAACTCATGTTGGCTCAGTCTCACAGCCCTGGGGTTATGATATGGAATTGCATTGATCGGGAGTCCTTGTTGTTTTAATAGAGTGGTGGTTGGGGAAGAAAAGATGGGAATAAATTTAATACCTGCACACCATCCAGAGCGGTAACCAAAGAATTTTCTTGGTTCCCCCAGAATATTTTGAGATAATTTAAAGGACATCTAAATATTAATCTCATGTGCTCAAATATTTCCCTTTTTTGAGTATTTCTCCCTATGATCTAATGATATTTCAGAAGACAATCTAAAGAAACATTTTCTTGGTATAGTATGACTCATTTCTGTTATTATTCTTAGAAATAACATTATGTTTCCCTAGTAAAACTCAGGGCAGACACAGAGTTTTATAAATTAAAGTGCTCTTTGGCACCACCAACTTCCCAACTGCAGGAACACCATAGGCAGGCATGTTTTTTCTCCCTTCTGGATTACTTCTCCAAGATTCTCCTCACCTTTAGGCTGGGGTACCAGACAGCTGGGCCCTGCTGGTTCTACACCTCAGGCCTCAGAAATTGTTATAGAGACCTGACGGTCACCACTGAAGTTGTTTAGTTCTCTTATGTGTATCAGTAGAGCATCATTTTTGAATCACCTGCAAAATTTTTCTACCTGCCCCTCCTTGTAAATGTTTTACAAATATTCAGAGAAGTCTTTTGCTCCCAAATAGCACTTTTCAGGAGCACACAACAAAGCAAGTTAAACCTCCTAATTAAGTTTGACATTCACTTCTAGTTAATTTGGGTCAAGTCACTTTTCTAATAGGGCTTAGAATTTGAACTTCAGGATGAAAGATATCACCAATCCCCAGATATTTAAATACCCAGCTTCACCACAACTAACCCCACTTGAGAGGTAGAGGAAATGGGAAATAAGAACAGACAAAAAAAAAAAATACAAAATTATATATAAAGTTAACACTGTAGTCCCACATTAAGCAGAATATGCTGTAACAATCTTACATCCTTAAAACACTTCACCTTAATTGGAGATGTGTGAGGAAGTTTAAACCAAAAAGTAGACACTTTCACAGATGGAGAGATTAGAGAATACTGGTTCCTTAAAGGGAAGTCTATTAACCCAAGCGCGTTTTCTCTTCACAGCACATTACTAGATTTAAATTTCTTCAAGTCCTTGACAGCACATTATGCAATTACAGTTTGTATTATGGAAACTGAGGCACAGCAAGCAGGAGAAACAGGTTCTATATGTAGAATGTAGCCGAAGAAGCAGAGGAGAAATCGTCTCCCTCTTTCCTGACAATAATTTGCAGGTGTTCCTGGATCTCATGGATGGAGTTCTAACTAAGTCCCGACCCCTTAGTCCCATAAGCAGCGTGACTGTGCAATCAAAGAAAGAGCACCGAGTCCAAGAAACTCATGGACATTTTTTTTTTTAAGTTCTAACACCCGACAGTCATGCAAAGAGTGAAGAAGCAACACGCCTCCATAGCAGATCTGCCAACTAGCAGCTTCCAAATGCTGACACTGCAACTGAGATTCTACTTTCCAGTTTAATAAAATTACCGTTTACATTATATACGGGGAGGAACATACTTGAACAAGGCTCCAAAGAGCAATGTTCGGTTGCCAACAGCCCTATTTGCAAAGGATACAAACAGAGACCGATTAATTAATGAACTTTGCAGTACAAAATAACTCGTCCCTACTCCCGCCAACCAACCCTGGTGTGATTTAAGCCCTCTATCAGCATAAATTATATAATAGGAAACTAAGGTTCGGAGCAGGATGAAGACGTGGATAATGAAGAGATCTTTAGGTTAGGAAAAGTAAAAAATAGAAAAGTGAATTACCGAGGAGGAAAAAAATTCCACCGAAACCAAAATGAAAACAAACCTTGCTTTAAAAAAAAAAAAAAAAATCACTGTCTGTGCAGCGGAATGGCAAATTCCCAGCCCCCAAATCAGCCCCGCTGGATTTTGGTAGCGCGGTCTCGGAAGAAAACAGAACTCCCCAGACAGAGGCTCTGGGGAGCTGTGGAAATGAACCTGACCTCACCTGCGGAGCCCTCCTCCGGGCACCCCACTCAGTCCGCACTCTCCAGATCCCCGCCGCCGCTCTTCCAAGGGCACGCCTCCCTCACCCCCCGGCTGCACGGTCCCGGGTGCTCGGGGCCCTTAGATCGCCGGGACTGGAGCGGAGGAACCAGTTTCGGGGCCCCCCGCCCGGACAGCTGCACGCTCCGCCGCCGGGCCCCCAGCGTACGTCCCACCCACTCCCAACCCCCAGGCTCTCGCGCCCTTAGGACCCTGGTCCCTCGCCACCAGGTGACGGCGGGCTCTCCCGGGACTCACCAGTGGGATTTGGGAGAAGTTGAAGGCTGTGAGCAGACGCGTCCCGACCAATGAGCGCGCGGGGCCGGGCGGCGGGTGCCCGCCGGGTGCCGGTTAGTCCGTGCGCCCCCGGGCGCGCCCGGAGGGGCGCAGCGCCTGGGTCTGGCCCCTGGGAGGTTCCGGGCCCGCTTCGGCCCGATCCCGGAGGCGCGGGGACCCCGGGCATCCCCTGTCCCCCCGCCCCCGCAGAGACTCACCGTGGCCTCGCACTGGATCCCGTGCGGGGAGTTGGGCGCTGCTCCCGCCTGCGCCCGGTCCAGCTTCGCCACTTACACATCCCCGCGCGTCCCTGCTCACCCCACCTCCGTCTCGCCGCCGCAGGACCCGCGAGAGGAGCAGTTCCCTGGGTGACCTGAAGGCTTCCGCTGGGTCTCCCCAACCCTGTCACGTCCTGCGAAGGGGACGAGGGGAGAGATGGAGGGGGAGGAGGGGTGTGGGGGGGTGATATGTGCGAAAGCCCCCGCCCCTCGTTCTCCCACCTCACCCTTCCCAAAAGGGCTTTGCCAAACATTCTTGGAATTGCTTAGCTTCGGGGCTTCCAGAAAACGAAGCATTGCCTCTTAGGATTCCCAAGTGCTCCTGTAGGTTGTTTTCTCTCTAGTTGACCTGAGACAAAAACATTTCTCACCCTCCTCATTCTGTCTTTCTCGCTCTTGAGTTTCCTTCCTTCATCTAAGCGGCCTTTTTTTTTTTTTCATGCTTTCTTTTCTTCTTTCCCCCTTTCTTCTCTCCTCTCTTCTTTCTCCTTCTTTGCTTTCCCTCTTATTTCTTCCTTTTCCGTGGCTTAAGTAAGCATTTATGATTTCAAGAGCTCCACCACTGAAACTCTCCACTCCCACCTCCTGACTAGGGAATCTTGAAATGTGTGTACCTGAGAGGTTGGGATGGGGAGTGACAGTGGGAGAAAAATAAGCACAAGTGTGTGTCTGCTGTACCCCTAAAATTAGCTGTAACTTGTCTGGACCCTTGTCATTCTAATGCAGCCAAGCAACACATCATTTTCATGCAAGATTTGTGATTCTTTCTCAGGAAGTTAAAAAAGCAAGAAAATCTTTTTTGCACAAATATCTTTTTTGCTATTCCTTCATAAAAGCTGTCTTTAACAGCTGTGCCAAAGAGCCCAAAACTAAACATCTTCTTCTTTTTTTGTTGTTGTTTCCATGAGTTTTAGTTCAATTATTCAATGTCAGGTGTATACACAGATTTAACATTGATTCCTTTTCTCCTTCAAGTCACATGTAACTGCAAACACACACACACACACACACACACACACACCTGCTGGGTAATTCACTGAAATACAGGTGGAATTTCTTGAAATTGGAATTACCTGTTTTTGACATCAAAAGGACTCCCTGCTAGAGAGAAGAGTAACATTGCACTGACAAGATTTTCACACTTCAATCACTAAATATTTCATTAATTTAGAGAAATTGAATGTGTAGATTGTCTAAGTACTCTCTCCTTATCTTTATGCATTATTATTTTTTTCTTGTTAGTGAATGTTATAGATACTATTTAATCCTCACAATAACCCTAAAATATGGGTGCAATTACCCCACAAATGAGCATAAGGAGTTTGGCTAAGTTAAAAAACCACTGGGAAGTATCTCAGCTGTAATTTGGACTGCCAACCTAAAAATTCAGGTGGCAATTAGAAAAGCAAGTGGTGTTTATTTGGGATCGGAGAACTGCAATTTGGGAACACAGAATAAGGTAGAGAACCCAAATAGTTTCCCAAAGAGGGAAATAAAAATATAGGAATTTTTTTTTATGAGAAGATGTTAGTGATCTGAGAAAAGTTAATTAGTGCAAACTTTAGACTAATCTTAGCTATACCTAATTGTGGATATTGATCCTATCCTGTAAAAAGTGCAAAATCATCACTTTTCATAATGCAATGACTTCTTAAACAATCGTTTGCTTGATGGCTTCTTAAAACAACTACTTTTGGCCCAGTCTAAGAAGGTCTTAGACCTAGCTTACATAAGAAAGATAATGCAGTTTCTCTGTGATGATTGCCTGGTTCTGTTTTTTTTTGTTTTTTTGTTTTTTTTTTTTTAAATGCCATCACAAATAATATTTTTCAAAGGCCCTGCACCTTTTAACTTGTGGGGATACAAATGAAATCATTACATAGCCCTTTGCCTTCTTCTCAGACTGGATGCCAAAGGGAAAAAGCACTAGGAGATAAATTAGCAAGAAAATCAATTTATTACCATATGAATGAGGAGTTCACATTTTCTTTTTTAAAGATTTATTTATGCATACAGAATTGGAGTACAGGCTAGAGGTAGGGGGTAGGGGGCTGAGAGGATTCACTAGAGACAGAGTGGGGAGCAGAACAGGCAGATTGAGAGGTACACTGCTGAGGGGAGCAGCACGTGGGTCAGGAGAGATCTGTCGCTCCAAGTGGGTGACCTCCCTCCCCGGATATTGAACTCTTGCTGCAGTGGCTGCAGTAACTTCATAGCGCTGCGCTTTAACCCGCTGCACCACCAGGGAGGGCCCCACGAGTTCACTTTTTTTAAATTTATGCATACAGTAATGCGGTATAGGCCAGAGGTGCAGGGGAGGTAAGAGGATTCACCAGAGACAGAGTGGGGGTCAGAACAGGCTGACTGAAGAAGTACACTGCTGAGGGGAGTAGCGGGCGGGTCAGGAGAGGTCTGCCATGCCATGTGGGTCACCTCTGGGGTTAGGAATCAAACTTGCATTGAAGCAGCTGTGACCCACTTGCAGTGCAGCGTCCTAACCCTTTGGGCCACCAGGGAGGGCCTGAGTTCACATTTTCTAAGGAAAATGAAGTGGTCCAGGAATATTTATCCTTTGTTTTAAGACAGCAGCATCACAGACAGAGAGCAGTTGACTTCAATCTGATGGGCAAAATGGGGGTGGTGACCTTATCCTTATACTGAGAGTAGAAATGAGATTCTTAGAGATAACAGACTTACTGATAAACCTAGCATTGGATGAATTCTCCAAATTACATTCTTCCTGGTCATGAAATGAGAACAGTGATTGCTTCTTTGAGTAGGAAAAGGACAGAAGTTTATGATATACAGCTCTCTTTGATTAGGAAGAGGTTTAGGGAGAGGCAAAGGACTTGCACTAGAAAAAAACTTATCTTGGTCTTCAGGGCATTCTCTAAATAATGAAAAATAATCTGTATTAGATGGTAACAAAAACGTGAAACTTTGACTGACCACTTGTTCCCACACCAAGGTGTCATAAGACCTATTTTGTACCTATTGACACTTTAGCGATACGAATACTACAGACTCAGAAATTGGGATAACATTTTTCTCACTTTATAAGGAGCACTGATTTACTAAAATTCATTCAGTGAGAAATCTAGATCTTTAACAACCCAGTGCTTAATTTTATTAGTTTTCAGCTAAATTACCAAAATGTTGTTTCAGCCTTAAATAATTGATAGTGAGTTAAAAAGAACTACAAAACTTTTCTTTTTTTATCAGTCCTCAGTTTCTTCACATGGAGCCATGTGCATTAAAATATCAATACATTTCTTCTAATGAACATAATAATGAATGTTGAGAGGGGGTGGGAAATGCTTTGGCCACAATAATCCCAAACTTTGCTTATCAACAGGAAATCAAATCAAACTCTTAGATTTGGTCTTCACATTAAATTTTTTGAGATAGGTTCTGTTTTCACTTTCCAACTTTGGAAGGTACTCTGGCAGTTCAGTAGAAAAGAAGATTTGTTTGCAGGACCTCCAAGCTTTGAGCTAAAAGTTAATGGTAGGTCATGTATTTAAAAATTTTAAATTACAGATATGTCACTGAAAGCGCTTCAGACTTCTCAGTTATAAGCATGTATCATATTAACATGATTAGTTGGACCTGGTCCCAGGAGAAGTAAACTAAGACTGTAGGATGCCAATGCAAAGATTCACTTTTGGTAAGAGCATTTACTGGGAAGGCAGCTATTTTGCTGGGAAAGAGGAATGCATATACTTAGGGTATACAGCAAAAGAAAAAAGTTATGTTAAGCTCTGACTTTCACTTGATAGTCACAAGTGTTTTCCACAAATCTTCATCTTAGAAGGAGGTTATACAAGTTTGAAAATGTAAAAATTGAAGTTTATAGAAGTTGTCCAACGTCACACAGTTTGCTGCGTTACAGGGATGGAGAAGGAAGCAACGCCCTGGCTGCTGGGCATAGCCATCAAGAGCAGAATGCTTTGGGTCTGGCAGTATGTAGCACAGTCCTAAAAGCTTTCCTTGTATGCAATACTGACAAATGCTTGTTCAAGCATTTTTAGACTGTTTAAGTAAACCACTGAGTCACGAGAAAGTGAAGAAAAACCTCAGAAATCAAAAACATGGAGACCAGGAATCCAGGAGTGTTGTCTTTGAGTTTGATGCTACCCAGGGGAATTTTAAGGTGGCTTCACCACACCTTGT